GCCTTCACCATTACATTACCTTTAGTGGGGAGACATTTTACTGAAATTACACCACCCAAGATTATTTTTTTAACATCAAACTGCCTAAGAGCTTGTGATCCTCCTGTCTCAGCCTCCCAGAGGGTTATAGACAATAGCACCACACCCTGGTTTCTTCATAGCCTTGTTAAAAACTCATTGATTGAGCAAGGGAGGTGACACATGCCTGTAATCCTTGCAGTCCAGAGGCCAAAGCAGTAGGTTCACTGGGAGTTCCAGACTAGCCCAGAATACATACTGAGTCAAGTTCAAGTTTGTAAGAACTACAAAGGAAGACACCCTCTCTCAAAAAAAAAGCTAAACAAAACAAAACTCTTTGGTGACAGTACGCTTTGGTTTGTTTCTGGGCTGTTTTAATCTGTGTGTCCATTGTTGTTGCAGTGTAACTGTTTTGATTGCTGTCACATGATGATATGCTTTGAAATCAGGTATCATGGTGCATCTACAGTGGACCCTTGGCTTACGAACTCAATTCGTTCCTGAGGGCTGGTTGTAACTCAGATTGGTTAATTGAAGGCTCAGGCTCTTCTACACAGCCTTCAAAGTCTCTCTCCTGTACATAGGCAGCTCTCAGTGTCCTTAGAGAGACATTGGCCCAGGATTTCTCAATTAACCCACACAGGAAAGGATGATGTTGTAATGTTCCTTCCAGAACTCTTTAATGGTTAAATCTGTACCTGAGACCATCTGGAAGCACAACTGGCCAGCATCTGGGTCATAACTCAAGACCTTGGTCTTAAGTTGAAACTAAAACTCCAGTTGTAACCCAAGTTGTTCGTATTATCAAGCCAGTCACAACTCGAGGGTCCACTGTCCTATGATCTTCTTTCTGTAGATATGGGACGGCTCCTTGTAGTCTTTATAGTTCCATATGAATTTGCAGATTGTTTTTTCTATCTCTAGGAAAATGTCATTGATACTTTGATAGGAATGGCATTGACTCTGCTTGTTGATTTGGGCAGCATGGACATTATAACAATATTGATTCTTTCAATCCATAGTCATAGTATGTCTTTCCTTCTATTTGTGCCTTTCATTCATCTCTTCAATGTTCCATAATTTTCAGGGAACAGGTGAAATTGGTTAAATGTTTCCTATCTAGTCACTCTTTTTGATCCTATTGTATATTGAGTTTTGTTCTTTGTCTTGGGGATGGGGGCAATTTAAGTGTACAGAAATGGAATTAATTTTTCCTTGCAGATTACCTATCCTGCAACTGCACTGCATTTGCCCATTAGATCTATGAGACTTTCTGTGGATTCCTAGGTTTCCTACATATAAGGATGCATCCTCTGGCAGGAGGGACAACTTTTACTACTTGCTGATTTGGATGTCTCTAATTTCTTCTCTCAAGTGACTTCAGTGGCTAGGACTCCAAGTACTGTGTGGAATAGAAGACATCTGATGGGCAACCTTGTCTTATTCCTGGTAATGCTCACCCAACTGTGGTGCATCCCTGTGAGGCAGCAGAGAACTGCACCTGGATGGACTGATTCAGTAGCTCTGTCACAGGCTGACCCTCAGTGCAGAGGTCCCCGAGTGACAGGAGCCTCTGGTAGGGTCTCTCCTGTCCAGGGTGCAGGATGGGCTCTTTACTGAGAACGGAGCAGGGGATTCGTCGGCCTTCCCTTGTCCTGGTTCCCTTCTAGGTACCATGGTGCCCTGTGCCACTTCATTCTCTTCATTCCCTTCATTCCCACCTCAGGTTTCCACAGAGGGTCCAGCAGCCGCTGTGATCCTCTCAGGGCTCCACTCTGTATGGAGCCCTCAGGTGTGAACTCTATGGCCAAGATCTTCAACCTGCGTGCATTTGACCTGGAAATTCTTTTAGGGCTTCATCTTAAACAATGAGATCTACAGACACTCATGTTCCCCCTTGGCTCTGTTATGGGTGTGAATAGTTAGAAACCACTGAAATACAACAGCAGAGGCTTCTGAGTCAATTATAAAATTATAAGCACTGAGAATGCTCTAGAAATTGAGGCACGCTCAGGCCATGTCCCAGTCTTACGTGAGATGACAGAAGAGCTTGAGGCCTGGCCCTCTCCCCACCCAGTGGTGAAGAGACACAGGAAGTGTCTGCTTGCACCGGAAATGAGGAGGGGAAGGAGGAACACTCGGGGGTGGGCTGTTCCTGGATGGGATGCCTGTGTTTTTTCTTCTGTGTTCCTTAGTTGTTTTATTAAATAATTCTTCTCTGAAATCAGTTCACGAAAGAATAAAAGGTGGCAGCCAGCGGCTATGGCCAGCAGGCGGCGCAGTGGGCCTAGGCTGCGGCCTCCCCCACTGGCAGAGGTAGAGGACCAGGCCCTTCCGTGTTGCTGCCCCTGCCCCTGGAGCCACGGTGTGACTGGCAGGTGGCCAAGGCTTCCTGAAAGCCTTTCCCTTCCTCCTCATCTCCGAGCTGCTGCTGGGGAAGGCTGCGGGCTGCAGAACAGACAGGACTATAGTACCACATCAGCCACATCACCTGCAAAATGTTACACATAGATGTAATGCAATCCCCACAGAAATATCATCAACTTTTTCACAGAACTAGGAAAAATAACTCTAAAACTTATATAGAACCAGAAAAGACCCAGAATAGCTGAAGAAATTGTGAGCAACACAAGGGGGAAGAAAAACATTACAATTCCAGATTTCAAGTTCTACTACAGAGCTAAGTACCCAAAGAGCAGGTTATTGGCACAAAACCAGATTTATTGACCAATGGAATAGAATAGTTGTTGGAGAATACTCCAAGCATTTTCAGCCATCTGATTTTCGACAAATGGTTCAGTAATACACGCTAGAGAAAAGACAGCCTCTTTAACAAGTGGTATTGGGAAAACTGGTTATTCACATGCATCAATCTGGACCCATATCTCTCACAATGCTCTAAAATAAAATCAAAATGGATCAAAGACCTGTATGTAAAAACAGAAACACCTAATCTACTGGGAGAAAACATTGGTAAAATTCTTGAAGACAAAGGCACACCCAAAGCCTTTCTGAATAGAATCCCAATTATAGAAGAATAATATAAATAATCAACAAATAGGATTAGAGCAAATTAAATATCATCTGCACACCAAAGAAAATAATCAGCAGAGGGAAGACACAACCTAAAGAATGTGAAAAAATTTACCCTCTACTACTCAGACACAGGCCTAATATCTAGAATATGTAAAGAACTCCCCAAAAATGAGATCCCCAAAATAAAAGCCACAATCAAAAAATGGGCAACTGAAATGAACAGATACTTCTCACAAGAAAAAAATACAAATGGCAAATAAATACATGAAAAAAATGTTCAACATCAAAACAACTCTGAGATTCCACCTTACTCCACTAAGTAGGTAAGTATCGAGGACTTAACGAGGCAAGTTTTGGGAAAAAACTAGTACATTGTTAGTGGGAATGTAAACTAGTATAACTACTATGGAGATCAGTATGGCAATCACTCAAAAAATGAAAACCAAAAAGTCCGTTTGACCCAAATATACCTCTCCTTAGACCAGGGATGTAGCTCAATAGTGTAGCACCTGCCTGGCAAGTGTGAGGCCATGAGTTCAATTCCTAGTACCAAAAACAACAAAAACAAGAAACACCAAATACACCTCTACTGGGTAACTTCCTGAAAGAGCTGAAGTCCTTATACTACAGTAACACGTGCACACTCATGTTTATAACAGCACAACTCACAATAGCTAAATGATGAAATCAACATACAGTATATGCCCATCAACAGACGAATGGATAAAGAAAATGTGGTGTGTGTATATATATATACATATATATATACATATATATGTATATATATATACAATAGAATACTACTTAGCCATAAGAAGGATACATTTGAGTCATTTGTGGGAAAATAGGTGGATTTTGAGACCATAAGCTCTGCTATGTCAATATTTTGTAGCTCTGTTATGTCAGTATTTCGTGTTGTTACCTTTTAATGAATAGATACCTTTATCATTATGAAATATCTTTCTTCAGTCCTAAAAATACTCTTTGCTTTGAAATCAACTTTCTCTAAAGTTTGGATAGCTGCTTTCTCTTGGTTAATGATAATATGACATATCTTTTCCTATTCTTTTACTTTGAACCTATTTGACTTTTATACTCAAAATGGTTTTCTTATAAACAGTATATAGGTGAGTCTTGCTTATTTTGTCCACTCTGGTAATCTCTGTGCTTTAAATTAAGATGCTTCCATTATTTCTCCTGAATATGATAACTCAGTTTCTTGTTCCCTTTTTTATTCTGCTCTTTTGAATCTGAATCTCTTTATGAATTTATTTTATCCACTCTGGTTTATTCCTATACATCCTTGTGTTTTGTTTTCTTTTTGGCTACCTTAAGGTTTGTAGTACACACACACACACACACACACACAAAATTAACCAAACTTTCACAGGTAATCATCAGCTAAGAGAAACAATTATTTTAAACTGTTCACATATGTCAAAACTCACAAATTAAGATCCTGGCAGCCAAGTGGATTTTTGTATGTGAAAACCAAATTCCCAATTAACAAGATTCTGGACCTCTTTAGAGGTTAATAAGTTGAGCAGTCAGCCTGTCCCAGCACCCAGAAGGAAGCTCCACGCCTCCATCCCAGGCTCCTAGGGCCAAGAAGGTGAGCCAGTCCCAGCACCCGGAGGGAAGCTCCCCCGGCCCCATCCCAGGCTCCTAGAGCAGTGAGGCTCAGCCCATCCCAGCACCCAGAAGGAAGCACCCCGCCTTCATCCCGGGCTCCTAGGGCAGTGAACCTCAGCAGGTCCCAGCACCCGGAAGGAAGCTCCCTGGCTGCCATCCCAGGGTCCTAGGGCCAAGAAGGTGAGACGGTCCCAGCAGACCGGGGCCGTGACCCGGCTGGGCTCCCGGGTTAGTGTGCAGCTGGGGCGGGTCTAGTACCACTAGGGGGCAGTAGCATCAGGAGTTTATGGTCTCCTGCCTGCAGGTGACCGGCCTTCCGAAGGTGTTCCCTGCCCACGGGGCACCGTCCTCCCGCAGGTGCCCCACGCCCCAGGTGACCGTGCTTCCTCAGGTGTCCCGTGCCACAGGTGACCATCCTTTCGCAGGTGTCCCTGCCCGCTGGTGACCTCCTTCCTCAGGTGTTTACTGCCTACGGGTGACCGTCCCTCCGCAGGTGTCCCTGCCCGCAGTGACCGCTCACTCGCCCGCGTTATGGTGGACTTGCTGGTCGGGCGGAGCCTAGTGACCCGCGAGGGCGCAGCGGTGGAGGCCGAGGTGGCGCTGCAGAACAAGGTGGTGGCTTTGTACTTCGCGGCGGGCCGGTGCGCACCCAGCCGCGACTTCACGCCGCTGCTCTGCGACTTCTACACTGCGCTGGTGGGCGAGGCGCGGCGGCCGGCTCCCTTTGAGGTGGTCTTCGTGTCTGTGGACGGCAGCGCGCAGGAGATGCTGGACTTCATGCTCGAGCTGCACGGCGCCTGGCTGGCTCTGCCCTTCCATGACCCCTACAGGCAGTGAGTGCGCGCGTGGCCGGTGCCCCCCAGGCCTCCCCTCCTGCACCCGGCTCACTTTCAGTCGGCCCTCCTCAGCTCCTTCCCTCACCTTCCTTGGCAGCTCCGGCTTCAGGTCGATGACAACCTCTGTTTCAACTTTCCTCAGATCGTCCCTCTCAACCCCGAGCATCTACCGGGCTTGTTGGGCGTGGGTCCCTGGACACCCACCCTGGGGCTCCGGGATCTGCATTCCTAAAGAGCCCCTGCTGCAGGGCTTGGGGACACTGCTCTGGGTCTGGGAGCAGGCGAAGGTGCCCGAGAGGTCAGAGCTCTGACCAGTGCCCACAGCACGGTGCTGTGGGTGTGCTGGGGAAATAAGGGGCTCCAGGGCTGGAGAAACACAGGCACTTACCACCTTCACGATTTCGCTTTTTATCTTCAGTGATGGAATTTCATAACTGTAAAGGTGTAAAACTCATTACTGCAAATCTGGACAGACCCAGGTGGAGGTAGAGGTCAGAGAGGACAGCCGTCTGCTCTCTGAAGGGAGCTGGCCTGGGCGTTGTTCCGGCCCTTGTTGTAGAGCCTCAGCTCCCTGCTGGACCTCTGAGTTTGCGAGTGAACAGGAAGTTGAGCTTAGTGGTTGACTCACTGTGGTTCTCAGCTTGGAGGAGCAGGGACCAGGGACGGCTGGGGGCTCAGGGGGGGAATATGGCAGGGATGTTGATTTTTGGGGCTGGTGTGGGGTCTCCTGTACTCGAGTGCAGAGTGAGGTGTAAAACACTCCTGAAGCACATTGTCCCAGCCCCCTCATTTCCAGGAGCAGATGTGAATTTCTTTGTATTGCTAAAAGTCAGCTTCAGGCTTACTCAGTTATGGTGTTACCTCCAACACTAATTACTATAAGATGACTTTTTTTTTTTTTTTGGTGAAGGGAAAATAGAAGTTTAGGTTCAGAAGGGATGCTGCCTGGCCTGATAGGTGTGTGAGGCCTCAAACCATGAAGATCAAAGTCTTGTTGACAGTACGTCTATAATGGTGCTGATTAACTTTGCATAAGGACTCAGAGCATCACTTCGATTAGTGTGTATTAAAATATGATTCAGTTCTAGGGCACTGAAGTTATGCTCAGCTTTCCAAAGGACAGGCTTGTTTTGAAGGTGAAATGTGATGGCTTAGTAATTAGGCAGGGAGCTCGGTTCCTGGGAGAGCCAGCCCTGAGAATCCCCTGGGGGAGGTAGTCAGGTGTTTCATTGTTTATCACCTTGTCTCAGGTGGTTTGTCCTGGGGTTGGCCTGGTGGTGAAAAGGGCTCCTAGCAGTGTGGGATGGTCATGGATCGGCATTCTGGTCTTTTGCCCATTTTAAAGATGTGCCCCTGAGGTGCCCAGTCCAGACTCTGGGGCCATCTTTCTGCTCTGGGCCATTTCTCTGAGGGCACAGTGAGCCTCAGACTCCAGGGGCACGTGGAACTAAAAGTGGGATATTCTGTGACACTGGAAGCTACACCCTAAATTGTGTTTATCTGAAGCCTGATTTATGAAATCAGATCATGAGTCAAATGGGAAGAACAACCACTGAGAAGAACAAAAAATGCATGAAGCATCCAGGAGGCATTCGAGGAAGTTGTCAATGTGTGAGGTGCATGGTACTTTGTGGTTAGTGGCACAGGAAGGAGGAGCTGGGATACTGATATCATGGGAGTACCATGAGTAGGAAAGGGACTCCTGTACTGCTTTTCCTGAGAGCTATGAGCTCATCACCTGCTGTCTCCTGGGTTCCCGGAGAACCACCAGAGTAGAAGGAGAGAGAAGAAAATCTGTCACTACCAAAGAAATCACCATGGGCACCCATGGGCTACCTCCACAGTGGCTGGAGTCAGGTGATGGCTATGATGCACCTGTAGGGAGAAGATGCTCAGACCCCTCACCTCAGGGTTATTACAAGGCCTTTCTAGTGCAGTCCTTGTCCCCTGCCCTAGCACAGCAGCACACACTGTCTTCACCAGAGAGGCAGCTGTTTATTACTAGTGTCTTTGAAACTAGATGGGGCTTGGTGGAGCTGCCAGAGAGGAGTGCTAAGCCTTCTTTCACCTTAATGTGGGGACTGCACAAAGAACAGATGCCACTGCTCCCCAGAGGCATTGTCTCAGGATGCTGTGCCATCTTCCCCATCCTCCTCCCATTGTGGGTCATGCTTATATGATCTGTCCAAGAAGGAAGGAACAGTCTCTGAACTTGCTAGCAGTGGTTCCTGCTACAGGTTACTGTTCGTGAGACTCTATGGTGCTTTTTTTTTTCTTTTGGTACCAGGGATCGAACTCAGGACCTTGCGCTTTCAAGGCAGGCGGTGGAACCACTGAGCTAAATCCCCGCCCCCCCCCTTTTTTTTTTGGTACCGGGGATCTAACTTGGGTCCTTGCACTTGTGAGGCAGGGGGTGAAACCACTGAGCTAAATCCCCGGCCCTATATGGTGCTTTTATAATGATTATCTTGTAACAGTGCTGGTTCTCACTCAGCTTTGATCTAGAAGAACATCAGGAGACCCAGAGAGGCCTGGAGGTGCCTCCCTCTCCTCTTTGTACCTGCCCAGCTTCTCACCTCTGCTTCCCAGATTGGGGCTGGGTATTGGGGAGCCTCATGTTCTAGGCTGATCATTTGGATCTGACGGAAAAGCAAACCAGCTGGCGCTTCCTGTTGTGGATACAGAATGGCTTGGGGGAGTCATCAGCTGGGAGAAGCTAGTGCCTATGTGGACAGTTCTTGGTTTTGTCTCTGCCGCTTGGCTCTTTCCAGCCCTGTGTCCCAGCTGCCTCCTTGGCCTTCCATACTCAACACATCCACGGACTCCAAGGATCCTGAATCTTTTTATCTTTCTGCTCATTAACAGTTCAGTCAGATGTTGGGCTGACTGTTCAGAAGGTTCCCGTAGCTGGTCTCCCAGGTCCCAGTGTCCCTGTCCAGTTGGTTCTTAGTACTAGGACAGCTCAGGTCCTGCAATGCCATGCCCCCTCCCCCCCGGTTTCCTGATTCCTGTTGCCCATGTGCCATGCCAGGCATGATTTAGTACTTGGTATCCACAGGGTGTGTGCTTAATGGGTGGTTGGAGCAAGTGGGTAAAAGAAAGCACACTAGAGGGATTTGCTTGGCAACAGAGTTTTGCTGGCTTAGATGGAAACAAACTGCAGTCAAGTTGTCATGGAAACCCACACCCTTTCTGTTAGGGACAGGATGTGTAAGACTGAGGGCCTTACCAAACGCTCCGAGGAGCTGACTACAGCGAAGAACACCCGGGAAGGAACACACCGGACAAGTTGGAAAGTAAAACAGACCTTTATTAGTCTGGCCAGACGGCACTCCCAAAGCAATGTAGCTTAGAGAGGCAACTGGCTCAGAGTCCGAGGCTGTTCTTATAGGGGGTTGAGGGGGAGGTTAACATGTAGAATTAAAGAAAAGGGACAAAGGTTAGTGGTCGACTGTCACATATTGATGGTCAGCAGACATTTGCAGCTTGTTCTATAGATTGTGGTGTCCGGAACATCAGTTCCGGGCAAACAAGGAGTTGAGTAGTTTACTTTGGGACTTTAGGTCTGTTACAGATTTTATCTAGTGTCCCAAAACTAACAAGCATCTTTATCCATTAACTCACATTTAATCACAGTGGGGCTGGAGAAAAGGAACAAAGGTTATGCAGTCCCACAGATGTGGCTAGGTCAGGTGAAGGGAGGGACATGTGGCAGAAGTGCCAAGGACAAGGATGAATGAGGCTCTCGGATGTTCCTAAGATGGTTAAAATGCTTCCTAATTAGGATGGCAGCAGCATTTTCTCCTCCACAGCTGCAGAGCAGGTGGCTCTCTGCCTGTATCACAGTTCCAAGGTGGCCTTTATCCCCAGACCAGGGTGCCCGGGTGAGGGTGTGAGGGCCGGCACAGAATCTCTGAAGATAAGTGTGGATGGGTCAGTGACCATCTCAAGTCCCTTCTTACTCCTCAAAGCCCACCTTGCCTCCCTTCTTCCTGTATCAGAATGCAGTTAATGTTACAAGTCATTAAAGTAACAGTTACAGCAATCCAAAGAGCTTGCACAACAAAGGCTATTGGCTAGCTAGTGTAAACGAAGGCTAGAGGCTCCAAGAATGCAGTTTTGTGACTTGCCTCCTGTTGTGTCTGCTTTGTGCTCAGCTTACAAGCAGTGGCTGCCTGGCAAATCTAGTCCCTCACAGTGGTAGAATGGCTGTAATGTCTCAGACTACATCCTCAGACCTTTCTTTTTCTCAGCACACAAGCAAGTTTTCTACAGAGTCTCACTAGTTCTGGGTCTGCTAGTTACCCATTCCTGTACTAGTTAGTGTGGGCAGGGGATATATTGACTGAGCAGTCAGCCCAGCTGGAATTGGAGGTAAGGCCTTCCAACCCAACAGGAGCAGCCAGTGTGACTTACTATGTGGCAAGCCCCATTTTTTGATAAATTTCACGTATTAATCCTTTAATCTTTTTTTTTTTTTAATGTGGTTCAGCCTGGCCTTGAACTCACTGTGTATTCTAGGCTAGCCTCAAACTCCCAGCTGTCTTCTTGCTCCAGTCTCCTAAATGCTGGGATTACAGGCATGTGCCTCCCTGGATCGCAAGGCTCTCTTATCATTTAATCTTTTTTTTTTTTTTTTGGTATGGGGGATCCAACTCAGGACCTTGTGCTTGCGAGGTAGGCAGCCCAACCACTGAGCTCAATCCCCAGCCCTAATCATTTAATCTTGATAACCACCCAGGAAGTGAGTCCTGTTATTACCATAGTGCAGATAAAGAATTTGAGGCCAAGGGATGCGAAGTACTTGTCTGCATCACGCAGTCAGTTCAGGACAGCAAATAGGAGCCATGGGTTCTGAAGAAGGTCATGGATATTGGGCTGCAAGCCCTCTGCTACCTATGCTGTCTAGGGCACTCCTCAGTTTCCTCACCACCTGCTTGCTTCTCCCTCCAAATTAGTGGAGGGGTGCAAATAGCCCTGGGAGGATGCATCCAGGA